AAGCAAGGAGAAACTGCTCGCTGGAGCGATGAGCCGCTGAGCTAGGGGTGGGGAAGGCAGAGAAAGAGAGAAGTAGCTTGGAATCATTATCTGTTGGTTAAAATCTGCCTGGGGTAAAATTTCAACTCGATTTTATAGCCTTCTATTATGACGCAAAGAAAAATTTACGAGCCTCGCTTGAAAAGAGGGCCAGGGCCTTTTCTCGCTGGTTTAAGAATAGGCGGCAGATGCGGTGACAGCGACCATTGTTCCCGGTAGACACAGGCGACCGGGCAACCTCGGCCCGCGTGCGCCAGGAGTGTCCCCAGCCCGACGGGATTTTTTTTTTTTTCTTTCTTTAAACTCCTGTTGTCTGGGGAGCAGGCTGCGCGCACCCTCACCCCCTGCACCCTCACCCCTCGCACACCCTCGGCATCCTCATCCACCCCCCCCCTCTCTCTCTCTCTCACACACACACACACACACACACACACACACACACACACACACACACACTCGGCCGCCCATAGTAATTTTTCATAAGTGCAAAGCTTCGCTGAACCAAAGGTCACAATCCAAGCCACTAACAACTTCTGGCCGGCGCGCGGTTCCAAACCAGGGAAGAAGCAACGGCAACTATTAGTCAGCGGTTCTGACAGCTAAGTTCATTAAGGATTGAAATCTGATGAAATAAAAGTAGCCCAAATATTTACCTGCGGGCCGCGCTCAGCGCCCGCCGCGGGGCCGGGTCTGCGGGCGCGGGGGACCCCCCTCGGCGGGCCGTGTTCTCGGGATCCCTGCACTTTCCAAGTCGGAGAGAGCCCTTTGCGTGGCAGATTAATGACGACTCCGTGTTTCTTAAGGGACGTGCTGAATTAATTATTTCGCCAATCACGTGGTCGCGACTTGTAGAAATCTATTCTTATCATCTTCCTCGCACTTTGAAAATTCTCCGGGTTATGAGCGGCCCTCCCCCGGCTGCTGCCGAGCCCCGGCTGCCCAGCCCGGCGTGGGGGGCAGGGAGGGCTCCCCAACATGGCGCCGTCTGCCGAGGGTCCGAGTTACTGTACTGTACTCAGTGGGCTCAGCTATGGACTCGCTTCCTCCTCATCCCTGCCGGTGATTCAATACACACAGCGGTATTGATGTATTGGTGGGCACAGGAGGAGCCATTAACCAGAAGACGGGCAGAGGACAATCATAAAATGTGTCTGAATATTTAAACTTCTGTCTGCGCACTTATAAATACACATGTCCACGCGTCTGGGTCGAGCCCTTCCATATATTAAGGACATATGTTCTATTTTATGTATTCTACTCATTTCCTGTCTTCAGCAAGACACCCCCTATCTCTTTTGGAACTCCTGTCTTGGCCCCCTCTTCAAAGCTGACGTCAAGATGTGGGAAAGCCCTCATGATAAAAATAGTGCATGGTACTTTTTATACTAGAGAGTGTTCATTGTTGTTTGAGGGGCCAGGAGGATGCAGGGAAGGGGGGCAGGTGTTGGTAACCCCAGAGAGGTTCAGCAGCCCCAGAAAAGTAGGAGTCCAAGATGGTCAGGTCGGAGCAACCACCAGCCAGCCAGCCTCAGCTGGGCCCAGAACAAGCACTCACCCAGCCTCTGGAGAGTGGGAAGGTTTCTCACACAAGGAAAACTTCCTGGGGGGGGGGGTCCTAAGAACTGGCCAGACAGAAAGCCTATTTGGACCCCCTAGCAGTTCAAGCAGTTGCTTCTCTTTCAACAAATAATGCCCTCCACCTTGCACCCTGGATCTGGCATCAGGCTTTCCAATGCTCACAAAGTATAGAAGTCAGCCTGGGAGTGGACAGAAATGTGGAATTGCTAGACCTTACATGACTTTTCACTTTCACACCATAGGCACCAAATAACTTGGTGTCAATTTTATTGCAGAAAATAAAAAGATAAATTGTTTATAATGAATGCTGGCTTTTAGGAAACTTAACAAAGAGTCTCTATCAAGGCACCAAACAGGAGGGAGATTTTACTACACCTTTTATTATTTCAAATATAGATCAATGAATTACATCAAAACTACAGGCAACAATTAATATAAATAATATTTTAATCGGTGGCAGTAAAACATGGTCAATTCTATTTTTAAAAAGCATCTTTGTGAGCGGACTCCAAGGGGCTGACTGACAATGTCACCTCTCAACAAAAGGCTGCCATGGACAGAATGAGGTGTGAGCCAGAGGCCCACTGTCCTCAGCAAACACTCCGCTCCTCAGCCCCAGTCACCAACCCCGACACAGGTTTTAAAACACCCAAATAAACACTTCTGGCTCATATTTGGGGGAACAAACTGGAAACAAATAACAGCAAATGGGCACTAGGGCCTTTCTACCTCTTGCTTTCTCTACAGCACGGTCCCAGATGGAGATGCAGTTCCTTCCCTGCCCTAGGTGACCAGGGTGGGGGGGGGGTGCGGGGGCTACCCCTTTCCTGGTCCATTCCTCTGGGCCCAAATGGACACCAGGGTTCGAATGGGACTTCAGGACTGGCAACTGCTCTTTAGGCCAGGCAAGAGCCATTAGCATTTCAAAAGACAATTCCTCCCAGCTGAGTGGCAGAGCTGAGACTTTAAAACAAAGAAGTTGTTTCCCGGATTAAGTTACTTTCCAAAGTAGTGGGGCTGTGTTTGAGAAGGAACCAGAGTTTTCTTCTGGAAAGCATACTTTTGGCTTTCCCTTGGGGCAGGAGGAAGGAGGGGTAGTATTTGGTCTGAAGCTGGAGGAGTAACCAGGACTTCCGAGGAGAGGGGGAAAAATCTATATAATAATCTTTATAGCAAGTATAGATGGTTGAATCTTGTGAAAATATATATTACCCCGCCCCAAGGCCTTGGTTCAATGTATGCTCAGATTTGGCTTTTAGGAAAGAATCTCAGCAACTTGCCAATTGGCCCAAGGATAGCTAGCTGCCCTTTTCAAACGCAGCATCCAAAGACTGTCTCCATGTTAGAGGGACAGGGAAAAGAAGAGAAGGGTAGTTACAGTCCAAAGGTTAAGGGTTTAGAGGTCAGTCCTCCCGGCTGGAATACAACCAATCGAACAGAAAATTTGCCCTCTGGATGAACCTGATTCTGTAATTTAGCCCAACTTCAGTAAAATACCTTTTCAGCTTCTCAACGTGAGGGCGTCAGAAAAAAGACATCTTGACTATGTATGAACTCTGTGCTTTTTGTCATAGAGACAATGATGCCAATAATGCGGGAATATCCATCTTTAATATCCCGACGTGGTGATATTCAAGTATTGCCATGTGCAAGTCTGAGAGCCAGGCTCACCCCAAGGAGGAACAAAGAGCTTTCCCCAGGGTCTAATACAAAAGACCAAGGCTTGGAAGATACTTCAGAGAAGCAGAATTTCAGTTTAGGGACTCCAGTTGAATCCTTGCCCTCAGCTCTCGGGAGACACAGAACCAAAGCCCAGGCCTTTCCCTCCTCCACTGAAATCTATTTTAAAAACAACAACCAAAACCTTCTAAAGTATTCTGAAATACTGAAAAAAGTAACAGCACTATTGATCTTATGATTAAAACTTAAGTTTACCCCTCCCTATTTGTTACTTGGGTCTGGGGAGACTGCAATCAGGGGTTTCTGTCTGAAGCCCAAGCTTTGGGGTTCAAGCTTTCAAAACCTCCTTTCATTTGAGTGTATAAACTCTATCATCACCTTTGACTCTTATCTTTCTTGTTGTTAAGGGTTAGTGTTTTAAGAAAATGAGATTTGAACTCTTCCCAGACGTGAAATAAAAGTAAATAAATAACTATCCCTCCTGTTGTTTGAGCTTGTTCTAAAGCCACTGGTTTCAAGTTAAAGAAGTGGGCCTGAAAACTTTGAGACTTTTACAATTTCTGCTTGTAAGTAATGTCTTGAGAAACACTTCAGAAAACACACAAACATACACACACCTCAGGGAAATCTCTTTAAGATCAACACTTGTGGACTTCCAGCATCTATTAGTTCCTTTTTAAAAACAAGACTTCCTTCCTTACCTACCCTCTTTCTCCCTACTGCACAGGGCCACCCCCCCCCCTCATAGGCCATACACTGATTCTGATTCCTATAAAAATTCTGCTATCTGGAGGTACTTGGAGCATTTGGAATCCAGTTGGAATAGAAAACTCAGAAATCATCTGATGGCCCAGGGCATATAGGTTTTGTTTTCTTTCCCCAGAGAAAAATATTGAGCCATTTGTTTCTTTTTTTCCCCTTCTCTTTCTTTCAGCCACCTTGCAAACACAGTGCTGGAGGAAGCACATGTGGAAATACATTTTCAAAGCTCAGTTTTCCTGGGTCCTTGGCTTCCCTCTGGGAGGGTTAAGGGCCTCCTACACTTATTTCCAGGGGATGGGTGGGAGGGAGGAGCTCAAAATCCCGACTAGGGCCAGAAGTGAGTCCCCAGATTTCTGATTCAGCCCCTGAAGCTCGATCCTTTTCGCTAGCCTAAGGTTGTTGACACACAAGTGCCAGGGATTTCCTGTAGTCCATTCCCCCAACAAATAAATATTTAAGCAAACATAATCAGAACATAAAATAACCCGTTTCCACTTCCTTCTTGGATTTATTTCTTTGGGCCTGACCCACTGGGAGCAAAGCATTTCTTTTTATCACAGCAGAAATTCTATAGATAACTCAGAAAGTTCTGAGATCCTCTCCCATCTCTTCTGTTCACACTGAAAGCACCTAGCACTGGGTGCTGGCCTTCTGCCTCAACTGCCCCCGCAGCTACTAAGCCACGCAGCCCCCTGGAGGGGTGGTGTGGAGGAGAATGTCCAGGTTCCCACTGGAGTAAGCCTCCGACCTTCATTTGCAAATTCAACATCCAACAGCAGAGGTTTTCATGAGTTTAATGACTCGCCAAGGTTTTATGTTCTCAGTAGTTCCTGCCATATGATAATATACTTAAAGAAGCCCGCCCACCCTCCCACCCCATCCCTTTAGGGAGGGGGCTGCCCTCGGGCAGGATGGTGACCTAGTCCGAGAGCGGCCTGCAAGTCCCAGGTCCACCCCCACAGTACCTTAGAGCCCAGTGAGGTGACAGCAGGCCCCGCCTGCACCCGCAGCTTCGCCTCAACCTGGAGTGCAGGGAGGGATGGGCTCAGGGTCCCCACTTCTATAGGGTCGTCAGGTCCGTGTGGTGGTCCTTGGCCATGGGCTGCAAATGCTGGCTGGGGGCAGCTGAAGAGGAGGAGCAGGAAGATGAGGAGGAAGAAGAAGACCTGCCCTTGGTGTTGGGCAGTTTGTGGTCTTTTTTCCACTTCATCCTCCGGTTCTGGAACCAGATCTTGATCTGGCGCTCTGACAGACACAGGGTGTGAGCGATTTCAATCCGACGGCGTCTGGTCAGATACCTGTTAAAATGAAATTCCTTTTCCAGTTCTAGGACTTGCTGTCTGGTGTAGGCTGTCCGGGAACGCTTGGGCTCCCCGCCGGTGTAGTTGGGGTTCACTGTGAGATAAAACAGACAGGACAGCCAGGTCAGAGCCCGGCCACTAGTTAGGCCCCTGGCTTGCCTCTGCCCTCACTTCCTGGCGCGTCCTGCAGCCCTCGGCCCTCCCCGTGCTCCAAGCTTGCCTGTTTCCTCCCTCCCGCCCTCTCCCTAAGACACACACACACTCCCACCCGACCCCTTTCATGCACCCACTCCCCAGGCTCACATAACCTCAAAGATGCTCCCTTCTCCCTGGCCCACCAAGGGCTCAGGATCTCCAACATTTTGGAAATGCCCTTCTCCCTGCTCTGCGTTCCCTCTGCTGTGGAAATGGAGTCCTCCCCCACCCCACCCCCATCCCCACCCCCTTTTGCGCCCACAGCCAAGCAGCCAGCCACATGGTCCCGGCCTGCTCCCTCAGCTATAAAAATTTATGGAGAGAGTAATTGTGGCGCCCAAGGAAGCTTCACAAGCCCCCACCCACTCGCACCCCCTCCAGGGGGCCCAGGCCAAAAGATGCGAGCAGAGGTGGGGGAGGGTTGAAAGGCCCCTACACCCGCTCCTTACCCGAATTCACATGCACCTTCTTCATCCAGGGGTAGACCACAGCCGGCTGCTTGAGGGCTGTCCCCGGGGGCGGCTGCTTGGGGCCGGTGGGCTGGCTGCAGGCCCGGGCGCCAGGCAGGGGCGCAGGCGGGGGCGCTGGGCACGGCTCTCCCGGGGCACCGTAGTGACTTCCTGGGCCACTCGGCTCCTGTCCGTGACCCCGCGCCGGTAGCGCTGAGCCAGGCCCCTGCCCGCCGCCTCCGAAGGGTTGCTCACCGAAGTCGGGCCGTGGGTAGAGCCCCGAGGGCTGGAAGTCGGCGCCCTGTGCGCCGCTGCCGTAGTAGTCGGTTCCCTGCTCGCCTAGATAGCCACCCTGCAAATATTCCTCGCACGGAGGAAACTTGGGGTCCACGTACTTAGAGTTCACCATATACGAACTCATGGCCATTAATTTCAGAAGGTAGAAAATACTAATTTTTCTCGTGTTGTCTTTTTTTCTCCTTCCATTGGGCCCTCCTACTTGCTGTCAACTGAATAAAGTTGGGCGGCCATGTGACCAGGCCAGCCAATAGGAAGGGAGCGAGTTTATCACCGGGTTTGTGAGCATCTCATAATTTTAACAAATTTAACTAAATAACATACGTGTAATCAAGTGACTTGCCGGGCCACATTTGAGAGTCCCTGACAGATGTTAATATAGTTCCAATTCTATCCCCAGTACTCCTGTTCTCAGCAGGTTACCCCGGCTTTTGTCTTCCACCGACTTTGCTAACCTCCCATGCCCTCCTCACCACCATCGCCTGAAGCTGTCCCCGAAGTGGGCACAGTTCCAGGAAGGGCGAATTCTCCTATTGGGGTGCGAAATAAGGAAGAATGAGCGTGGGCAATGTAGCCTCTGAGTTGGGTAGAGAGTGTCCCAGGCAGGCAGCCTGCCTGGCCAGCTGGCGGGAGTCCTGGACTCTGACATACAAAGACCTGTCCTGGCTTTGTTTTCATCAGGGTCACCCAAAAGTTACCAGTATCTGGCGGATCTGAATTGAGTTAGGCAATGAGTAACCGCTATGGTTTTCTGCCCATGTCCAGGCTGGGGTGTTTCTAGTTGAAGTTGGGTCTTGCTGAAATGTCAGGAGGCCCTTCAACTGTCCTGGATCTGGTAGCTGTGGATTGGGTCAGGTTGGGATGGTGATGAGGGGACCTTAACTTTACCTAAATGTTACCACAAAGGTCTCCAATGGCCTTCTTTCCAGATTGTCTTCTTCCCACACAAGGATCCTAAAACCAGGTGAGCCCCATTTGGGGACCGTCATATGCTCCTGAAGGAACAGCTGCTGCAGGAGCTTGCTGGCCTTTCACCTCACTCCCCAGTACCCTAAAACCTGCCCCTTTGGCCTAACACTCAGACAACCCCTTAAGCACCCCCTGGAACCTCTCTTGATAAAAGGTGAGGGCTTCTCCAAGAAAAGGCTGCACAATGTCACCAGGCAAAGTCGATCATCTGGAATCCAAGGTAATGAAAAAGAAAGGTGGCTGACCGGCTCGGCAGCCCCAATTCTCGGCGCCTCGGTCTCTGGCTATGTCGGAGACATATGAAGTTTTTGCATCGACCATATATTCCCCTAGAATCGAATCTGTGACTATGTGGGTACCACACAAATTCGGTTCTACAGGGTATATATAGACAACGTTACAACCTCGGGTCCTACCCAGAGCAGACACTCAGGCAGCCGCCAGCCTAGATCTCTTCAGCTCAGCCACCAGGAACTCCCCAAGCCCTGCTTTCAGAGACAGTTCAGGTAGGCTCGGAGACAATTTGCAGCAATGAGTCCCCTTATTCTGTTGCCTTGATCAGGGCTATGGAGCAGCTGAGCAACTTAAAAATAGAAAAGAAAAAAAGAGGAAATTTTCTTTCACCCCAGAGATAGAGGCTTTATTGCCCCCTTCCAGAATCCAAATCTCTCGCCCCCTTATCAAGTGGTATTTCCCAAAACGAAGCAAAGGCCGTCAGCGTCAGGGAGTTTTGAAAAAGGCAAGAGGGGATATTCTCCACCAATTCCTGAGCCAGGTTTTTGGCCACAGCTAGTCCTCCCAGAATTCAAGCATTTACCTTCGTGGGCCCTCAGCCCCGCTGGACTTTCGGATCCCGCTGTGGCGGCCGCTGCGGTTGCTGCTGCTGCTGCTGTTGCTGCTGCTCCTGCTGCTGCAGACCCCGAGGCAGGCGCTGTTTGCGGCCACCGAGTCGCCCTGGGCTGAGACCGTCGCGCTAATGGTGAAGGGCAGGGCGAGGGGTCATTCGAAATCATTTACAAACATAGCACAAAGTTTCATTATTTTTGCTTTGCCGACAGCAGCACAGAAGAGCACAAAAGTTCACGCATTTCGCCGCCCCAGCGCCTCCGCTGTCTTGGGCTTGCCCCTCAATTCAGGGCATCAAGAGCCCAGATGCACTCTGGGGCTGGGCTGATTTCAGGGGCAGAGGGATGCCCTGGTTTGAGCCGAGTTTTTTGGATGCCACATAGCAGGGTGAAGATGTCCACATTTCTAAGTATTGTTTTGATTCCTTCCCCAGTAATTCAAAATTTGCTCTCAAGCCTGGCCTTAGTTTGATGGGATAGGGGCAGGGGGACTCCCTTCACCAAAACTGGCAAAATTGGGTGCTCACTTTTACTCCACACTTTGCTCTTCCTGTAACTCCCACCGCTTCTTTCACTTGTACTGTTTTGACTATTTTGAAGGGATTTCCCAGGTGCCAATTCTAAAAAGGACTAGAACCTGTTTGGTTCAAGGCATCCCCACCCCAGATTCTGCTAATGTCAAGCCCTTTCACCCACGCCTTTCCTGGGGGATCCTGGGCCTACCTAAGCTTTATCCAGACAAATTGGGGAAACCCGATGGGTTGAGTTGGGACCGAGATGAGTATACACATTTTCATATTTGTTAGACGTTGTGACCTGCATTTCACCTTATTGCTCGACTTGTTCAGACAGGTCAAAGCCAACAAGTTATTGATGAACAAAAGCGTTAAATATTCACCTCCCACTCAACTGCCCATACAAATGCTTTTGATCTCTCCGGCTTTTTGTGCTATGAGCAGCTACAAGGCGCCAGATTTGGGTTGGCAAGCAAGCAGCCTCCGTAGAGATAAGCACCCACAGCCAAGGGTATCAGGAAGGGAAGGGGGTGACCAAGGGAAATCTGGGGATCCCAGATTTTTATCATGGAGCCTAGAGCCAGGTCCACTTTGTGCAGGCCTATTTCATAGAGGAGACTACAAGCTGGGGGATCTCAGCCTCACCAGGGGCCCAGCAAAGCAATCTGGCCCTGAGCCCAGTCCCTGCTTCTCTGACCCTGAAGGGAAGACATCTCATAGGAAAGGGAGGATGCCTGGTCCCTGTGGCCCTTGCCAATCCACCCTTCCAATGAGATAAAACCACTTGGGGTTTGCAAGCCACTGCTATTTCCTTGCCTCCCTGCTGTTGGCACCGTCCTAATGAGAAGGTTCTCCTGAAGGTGGCCCAGCATCCTCAGATTCAAACTTCAGAGCCCAAGGGCTGGAGTCCCTGCTCCTGACCCCACCCAATCCCACCGGACTCTGGAGCAGAAATTCTTCAACTGCAGCTAAGGAGAAGCAGAGGTGAAAGAGAAAAAGCAAGTACTCTTCTTGTTCAGCAGCTACCCTAGAACTCACACCGCAGGAGCTGAGACCCAGAAAGAGACACGAGAAGAATGCCTACCTAAGCTCAGACCGGGGCAGCTTTTCAGGGAAGCAGGCAACTCAACAAGCATCAAGGGTTCCTCGTTTGTTTCTGTTTGCAATACATCGATTTTAAAAGTTGAACATATGTATTACATATACAGCAAGGGAAAGCTGAGCTAGACTGGGCAGGCTTAATTTAGGTTGGACTGCAGGAGGGGACCGGGTGCCTTGGTGTTTACTGTGTCAGTTCTAGCAGTTGAGGAGGATGCTCCCAGCACTTTCTTGAGAGAGTAGATGGCTAATGAGCTGCAAGACCGCTGCACCTGTGCAAGCCTTCGAACCCGGGGGAAGGCCTGGAAGGTCCAAGGAGGTCCAAGAAGACGGCTCCCGCGGTGTGTTTACTTGGGCAGGTGACTGTAAACTAGGCCCCAGAAATGTTTCCTAAAGATTCAACCTGGGGCATCATTCTGCCTGGGGGCAGCACAGCTCCGCCACCCTCCCATCCCTGCTGGGGTGGACCTTCGACCACCACCGCCTCCCTTAGCATTGCTCTTTACTAAGAAAAAAAAAATGGGCAAGTACTTACACTGGCTCTTCCTGGTTCCCCTTTGTGCTCCGGAACCTGTTGCAATGAAAATGGGGTCACTCAGATTCCACCGGAAAATAACACAGAAATAGATGACATGCAGAAAAGTGACAAGGCCCAGACATTTCACTAATACCTAGAACTCCTTGCTTTGGGTGGCCGCCTTCAGGAGCTGCTCAAAATTCTCCGCGGATGGGTGGCATCCTCAAAGGCAGAGCCTGGGAGTATAAGAGTCTGCCCTGGTCACCTCCTCTACTCTATGTACCCTTGGGCAAAACCCTATGGCCTGACTCAGAGCACCAAAGACAGGGTTTACCCAGCTGGGAAATAGGAGGTCGGAGAAAATGGGCCTTGGTGCATCTTCTTCTGCTGCAGGCTGGTGGTGCGGATTCAGCGGGGAGGCAGCAGATATTCAAGCTGTCCCGACCCCAATTCCCTGTCTGCTCCCTCTGGGACCAGTTCAGTCCTCTTTTTTTTTTTTTTATTTCCTTCCAGTTTCAAGTTGGTTTTGAATTCCTCAATCCCAAACAGCAATTCCCATCCCAGCCTACAAACCTTCATCACAGAAGGAGCAGGCATGACTGGGATATGCTTTTTCATGTCTCCAGTTCCAACCAGAGTCATTTCCTTCCAAGGGGAAACGAGGAGGAAGGACCCAAAGGATAGCTAGAAAGGAAAATCGGTGTGGTTATGAAGGTAACTGATCTAGACCTCAAAGGAATGGTCTGGACTCTGATCTAATTCTAGGAATCCATATTAATTTTCTAACTTTGATGCTGAAGGACCTACGAAGCGATCACACAGGGCACTGGTTCCCCCCAGGCACTGATGTTCATCTTCAAGTTTTTAGTCCTCTAGGAACAGCAAGCAATGAGCTCTGAGATATCACAGAGCTGTCTCCCTTCACACTTATCCCCTCCCTCTCCACACCCCTAACTACTTTACTCTACTTTTGAAGCTTAGGTCCTGCTTTTGGGCTCGAAGCCCCCCCAATTTCTAACTTCCCATGTATACAGAGGGGGAGGGGGAAATCCAAGATCCCTATTCTATTTATTAAAGTAGGTTTAGGGTAAAATTAGAAATAACTTCGATATGCTTTCCTCAGGCAGAGAAGGCCAGGCTCAGAACCCCCCCCCCCAGTTATTGTGGAAAAGGAACTGAGTGACTTACTCTTTTTCCTTTCTGGTGGGTAGGGTAACT